TACTTGATGAAAGACTGTCTGCCTTCTCTATGAGCTCAGGAACAAAACACAGAAGTCTACTTTTACCATTTTGTTCTATATTGTAATGGAAGTCTTAGGCAGTATAATGAGATAAGAAAGAGAATAAAAGGCATAAAGATTAGAAAGAAAGTAGTTGTTATGGACTGAATCGTATCCTCCGCCCCCAAATTCATATGTTGAAGTCCTAACTTCCAGTACACCTCAAAATGTGACTATATTTGGAGACAGGGCCTTTAAAGTGGTAATCAAGATTAAACAAGGTCATATGGGTGGGTCCTAATCCAATATGACTGGTGTCATTATAAGAAGAGGGAGACTGACCAGGGATACATGCTTACAGCAAAAACGTCTTGTGAGGACACAATGAGAAGACTGCCACCTGCGAGCCAAGCAGAGAGGCCTCAGTGGGGAACTGGAAAGGAACACGAGGTAACCTTCGTGAATAATGGAAATGTACTATATCTTAATTGGGTGGTGGTCACATGGGTATTTGATAAACAATTGTCAAAGTTTATCAAACTGTACACTTAAGGTCTATGCAATTTTATTGTATATAAATTAAACTTCAACTAGAATAAAAGGAAATGAAAAAAACCCCACAGTTTTCTTGACTCTTAAGGAAGTGCTATTTTTTTTGGCAAGGAAGACTGGCCCTGAGGTAACATCTGTTGCCAATCTTCCTCTCTTTGCTTGAGGAAGATTGGCCCTGAGCTAACATCTGTGCCCATCTTCCTCTATTTTGTAAGGGGGATGCTGCCACAGCATGGCTTGATGAGTGGTGTGTAGGTCCACACTTGGGATCTGAACTCATAAACCCCGGGCTGCTGAAGCAGAGTGCGCAAACTTAACCACTACGCCACTGGGCCAGCCCCATGGCAGTGCTGTTTTTAAGACCCCACTCTATTGATATCTCTTGGACATTACAAATCGATCACCATAAGGACTTTGAAGGGACAAGTATATACATTTCTTAAATCACTAAATTATAGGAGGCACTGAGGTCAAAAGATTTAACTGATTAGATCCTTTTTGTGGGAAAGCAAGGCAAGAACACAGAAAGAAAAATCAATACATATAATGTTATATTAATTCATTCCACAAATATATAATGAACACCTACCACATATTAAACAACGTTCTAGGAGATGAGGATACAACAATGAACATATGAAATGCTTATATTCTAGCCAGAGAAGATGCAAAATACAAAAAATCAGCAAATTATATAGTATTTTGAGATATGTTTTTCTATTGTAAAGGATGGGAAATGTAGAGCCTCTGGTTTAAGTGATGATATTCCATATATAGCAATTTCAACTCTTAACGCTAGTCTCTTGCATTTGAATTCCTTTTTTGAGTGAACTGGACAGGACAATTTAATCTACATGTCTGGGTTTATTCAGAGCCCTATACTATGCTTATCTTCTATGTTCTGTCGATAAAGGCATCACCTTTGAACAAATCTTTTAGCTCAGACATCTGGAAATCAGAAGTAATATCTTGTGGTACCTTTTCTAATGGTTAAACATACAATAATAATGATGATGATGCTAATAATAAAAGAAACATAAATAAATGCTCCTTAGTCACAAGATAGAAATGGGTTCTATACTTTGGATACTCTAACTTGTTCATTTCTTTAATCATGTCACCTATATTAATCCATTATGGGTTACAAAAAACACTCACATCACTGCAAGCACAGGCTCATTTAGAGGAACAATTAGGAGCTTCAGAGATTATTCTTCACTTCAGATGAGTCTACAAGAATCCTCTTCCAGTAAAAGAAAAATGTGTTTGGGACCACCTCAGGGAGCCTCAACCAGTGACAGCTGCTATATATTATATTACCCAAAAAAACCCAAAGACAAAATGAAGGGCAAGATCAATACCATCAGGTAGATCCAATTTCTCCAGGTTTAGCCTCTCTCAAACTCTGTCAAAGTTTTAAGGCGATTCAGAGATCAATGAAAGAGGAACAGAAGGAGGTAGCTCTAAATGTAGTAGGGGCTTTGGATGGCTTCACAGCCTGACTTGGGAATGGGCAGTGCCAAGCGTCAAGGTCTAACCTTTGATTCTGGAACATGTGTGCTCAGTGTCCTCAGAACCTCTGCTAGTCCATCAGCATAAGAGGAAAAAAATGCTCCCAGCTTCAAGGGCTCTTATAAAAGAGAATCAGTGATGGGTGGAATCAGGAAGGGGTGGTTCTAGGCAAGCTAGGAGAGAATAAAAATACTTCTGCACAGGGAGGAAAAAAGAGGAATGAAGACTGGGTGTTTCCAGATTTATGCCTTTGGCTTAAAAGTTCTTTACTCAAGTTTAGATTTTCCTAAGTAATGTCTCCTTGCTCCACATAGCTCAATAAAAGCAACTAAAACAGAACATTCCAAGCATTGATGATTGAAAAACAATTTACATTTTAAGCATAATTCTGACAACACTGTGTATATTTTTGCAATCACCACATTGTTTCTTGAGACAAGAATCAGGTCTTTTTTACAAGTGTCGTATCAGTAAAGGTGACAGATGGCGAGGAGGATAGGAGAGGTAAAGGAGTAAGAGACTGATAATAAAGATTAATGGTCCTGCAGTAAATGTCCTATGCAGGACTTCATGATTAAAGGACAACAAAAGTAACAAAAGATATAAAACAGAAGAAAAGCATATTAAAAAATTCAGACATACTAAAGAGGGGAAAGCAATTAAGGAGATACTAAACCAAGCAGTGTAACTTAGGCAATTAGTGCTAGGTCATTGGCCTTAGGATAAACAGAGTGTCTAAACCTCTTGCAGCACACCTTGGCAAGTCTGTCTCCCATTTGGTTGGGTGCCACAGCAAACGCCAACGCAGTAACTTTGCCCTGTACTGTAATCCGTGTAAACTAGCTCTGCAATGGGCAGAATGGCTCAAAGGGGCAACTTCGGCTACCTCAATGATCAGGTACACCATTGCCAATGGCTCCAAATCAGAATAAAAGAAGAGAACAATACAAGACAGGCTTCCTAGTGACTGGAAAAAAAAGTTAATCATTCCTATGAATCCTTTAAAACAAAACTCTTAAAAGGATGAAAAAGTTTCTATTTTCCTCACTATAACCTTCCTAACTCTATAACCACTCTCCCGCAAAAAAGGAAGAGAAAAAAATATCTAATGAAAAAAATAAAACATGAGTGAAAAAATGTTCCTGAAAACTTTGCAGAATTGTAACAGCTTTCTCTTGGTTAAACTGATTGGTATAGCAACATTATAAAATGACCATTAGGATTCATTGTGCACAAGGGAAAATGCTGAAATGTCAGCAGACTACACAGCAAAAAGGAATGGGTTCTGAACCCCTGTTAGTCAAAAATGATTTTGTTTCAAATTATAAATTGATTCTTTTTGGACACAAGCCCTTTCCAGGGTTCCAGCTTCTGTAACTGGGCCTGGGAGAGATTAACCTCCACCACGGCAAGGGCTGGCCTGATGATACCTTTCTCAAAGTGCCTTTTCAATTGCCGCTGTAGTCTTAACCAATAACAGAAGGTATTTGTCCCTTTGCTATTACACTATATTTTTCTCATTTTGCTATTTTATTTTAGTGCTGACACACAACACAAATTTATTGACAAGTTAACAGAAGACTATGTTAAGTCTTACAGCAGAACCACCACATCAATTTTGACTGGCTCACCACTCTCCAGAGTGCAAAGTAAGAGTTTCCCACCTCTGATGGACTACTAACAGAGAAAGTAAAGAAGATGCTACCTCAGATACTAAGTCTCCTCAATTTCATTTTTGTTTCTGGCAGCAAAGTCGGAAAAGACAAAAGTTGTTCTAAGTTATCCTAAAGCAATGGCAGTCTACAGAACTTTTGCCTCATGTCAAACAAAACGTACTTTTGCTTTTGTTTCAAATTGTGGATAGCCTTCCTTCTGAAGTTTGGATTAATTATCATCTCTCAATTATCTGGGAGAGGACTAAACAACTTCTAGATTAATCATAATTAAAACCAAAAAACATGACAAAGCTGGCAGCAGATGACCAAAGGCAAGGAGCAGCACACCTGCAAGATCTTCTCAGAAAGCACCACTCATTCTCAAATAAATAATGTAGTGTGGCTAGAGAGATTATGACAAGTTGGCTTCTTAACACCAGAGGTGGGCAGGTGCTAGCCCAGTGAAAAAAGAGGTCAGTAAGAAGGGAATCAGGGTTAATGGTTGTGAGTAGGAAAGAGAGATGTCTGGGAAAGAGGCGTGAGCAGCAGGGGGCTCTGAGACCTTCCCTGGCCCTTTGTTTTCTGTCCACCTCTTCTGTACAATGAAGCTCAGACTTGTTCCATTCTGCTCCAAAGTCCTCTCCTTAATAATTCCAGAAGAGAATAAGCCAAAAGCTACTCCAGAAACAACCGGGAAACACAATTAAATTTGACTGTTTCACTTAACATTTCACATAGATATTTAGAATTGATTTCTTTTAAAATATCTACAACATATAAAACAGGAAGAATTACTGGCACTTAAAAGACTGCTAGGTAATACATGCTTAAGACTTATGAGGTTTTGTTTTAGCCACAATGTAGAATTATACATGACCTCTCCTACACTCTCCCCATATTTCCAGTTAATTGATTAACTGTAGTTGGTAGAGTTTACTTCCCATCAGAGATTTATGTTCAATTTCTTGTCCTCTTTATTCACTTTGAACATTATTTTGTGTCTATGACCATACTTACTGCTGAATAATTCTTACAGTTTGCTGCTTGCAAAAAGAGGGACAAACTGGGTAGTTTCTCACATGAGTATTCTAAGAGAAATGCTGATGCAATTCACTGATGTGGTAGATGTGCTACCTGCCGCCTTGCAGGCACATGTCAGTTTGTAACATATGTAACTCTTGCTCAGCTTTGTAGGAAATCCTCTGGAGTTCACGACTAGCAGGCAGCAGCAACCACTTGCCCCCAACAGCTTCTCATTTTGCTACTATACGCTAAGCTTACCTCTTTGGGGTCGATATGTATCTTTCTTTTGACATGTCCACAGGGCATCATCTTCCATATGCGACTGAAACCCAACTGTCTTCTTTTCACTTCTATTCTCTCCACTGTTAGTGGACTCTTGGTACTTTTTGATGGATGGTGATGTTCCAAGCAGCCAGCCATCACATTTTGACTTCAATAAACTGAAAAGGATAAACATCAATGAGCTATAGAGAGCACAGAAGCGGGTACAGATCACACAAAGGCATATAAATTCAGCATGAGTTGAAATGCCTTTCATGGCAGTAAAAACTTTCTTTTTCTTCTTACTTTTATTGAGGTATAATTTAAATAATTTACTATCCTGTGTCCTGCCACAACAATTTTGGAGAATAAATGGTCTTTATCCTCAAAAAGCCTATATTTGGAGTTGGGGAAATGAGACTCAGACTCACGAAACTGCTAATAAAGCCACAGAGTATGACTAAAAACCAGAATATCTATAGAAATAAAAAGTATGCTAAAACAAGACCTGCATAACTAAAATGTTTCCAAGTACTAAAAATGAACATCAGGGATTAAAATACCACCAATTTGCTTCAAATGCATTTGTGTTTCTCATCTTCAATTGTTATCTATTTCTTACGTACCTAGAGTATGTAAGGAGTAGTACAATAGTGCATGTCGAAGAACTGTTCTCTGTCCTCACATAATTTCATTATCAAATCAGCAAGGCAAATATGGAGTAAAAGGAATTTTCATGAACATCAACACAAGTATGTATGTTTTTCTCTCTAATAAACTGTGTTCCCACCATTAGCACATTTCCTCTTATAACATTTTATTTTTTTAGAGAGAAATGTTCTGATGATGTATATCCCTTGCTATTGCACCAGCCTCTTCCTTCTAACTTAAGTTCACCACAGACTCATGACGTTTTGATTTTGTCTTCCCCGTGCCCATAAACAATGTGAAAATTAAAGTTAAAAAAACAGAAGACCCTTACTCAAGAGGTCTTTACTCATCTAAAAATTAAGACGTTTAAACTCCCCAGAAGCAGAGGTAATCTCTAGATAAGAAGTAGTTGATAGAGTATTACTGGATCCATTACTAATCCCAGATGGCCCTTGACCAGGATATAAATTATGTAAACCCATGAAAGTCACTGGGCTTCTGGTTTGTGTTGATCAGCATTTTTAGTAATGTTTGCTCATATCATAATTTATTAATAAAAACCAAGAAATTAAATGGCTTTATGTTCAGAGTGATATAAAGAAACAAAAACTATTAGCAGTACGGCTTAATATGGGCATAATGCAATGTATTAAATTTATACTCTTTTAAATAATTTTTTTATCAGAACTCAAGGGATCACTTTCCCGTGTGGACTCACCAGTGGATGTGTATCTTAGCTCATATAACTTCTATTCATGGGACAGGAAAATAGGGATAATAAAACTACCTCACTGTGAATGTAAGATAAATTTACCCCAACCCAGAAGCCCAAAATCCAAGCACATCCAACAACTACATCTCTGCTTGTTCTTATAGAAAATTAATGTGACCAACACTACTGGCTTCCCCAAAATTCATTCATTCTCCGCTCAGCTGAGCTCCCAATACTAGTTAATGCTGATCACTCCCAATACTGATGGCTTTCTGCTTCTTTACCTCATTTTACACAGAAGTTTTTCTGTACCTTTATTCCAAACCCTATCCTGGTAATCCTCTATCTCAACAGGGGACTTGGCTTCTAATTTCCTTCCATCTTTATCCATCTACTATTCCTCTTTTAATGTCTCAGAAGAAAATTATACTTTTTGTTCATACTCTTGATACCACTGACATATGCCCTTTGTAACCATGGCCTGTCAATAATCTCTTTTTCTTATAATTTACAAGCTCCTCCTCCATTTGACTGGATTCTTTCCTAGGAGTATAAACAGGATTGGACTTTCCATTAAAAATCAAAACCTAAACCTAAAACCAAAACTCTTCCCTTAAGTGGGAAAGTATAATAATAGTGTCAGTGAGGGTGTGGGGACAAAAGCATTTTAATACACTACTGGAGGAACTGCAAATCGGTATAGCCTTTTGGGTGGGTGATGTGTCAACACAAAATAAAAATGCACCTACTGTCCTAACAATTCTACTTTTAAGAAGTTATCCTATAGAATTACATAAACAACAGCATGAGAATATTTGTTTAAGGAATTTATAGAATTATTTGTAATAGTGAAAAACTGAGGGCAAATATTCAATAGGAGAGTGAGTAAATAAACAATAGTACAGCCATCATAAGGAATACTCTTCAGCCATTAAAAAGAATGAGGTAGATTTCTATACTATTGTAAAGAAAATTCATGACATACTATTAAGTAAAAAAAAAAAAAAAAAGCAATTTGCCATAACAGAATGTATAATGTGATCTCATTTTTGCAAAACCAAAAATAAACAAAAAATATTTTTAAGTTCTGGATGGATAAATACCAAACCAGAGAAGAGAAGCAGAAATAGAGTGACTGAGGGAGAGATTTTTATAATTTAATTTATATCCTTCTGAATATTTCATTTCTTCCAATAGGCATGTACTTTTGTAATTAAAAAACAAAAACTTTCACCATCTTCTTCACATTACCATCTTCTCTCTCCTTTCTTTCTCTGCCAAACTTCCAGAAAACAGTAATTAATTTTAACAGACATACCTACTAAAACTATTTTTTAAAGAACAAATCTAGTGACCTTTTCTCTTTCAACAGTCTTGCTTGTTCCTAGACAGGGCAATTGACTCCTTTCTTAAAACTTTTTCCTTTGGACTTCATAATATATTATCTTGACTGGTTTTCTAGTTTTAGGAGGCTTCTACTCAGATTCTTTTACTGGGAACTCTTCTACTTCCTTCCTCCTAAATGCAGACTTTCCTGAAGATTCTGTCCTTGTCCTTCTTCTCTCTCCCCTTAGCACTTCCTCAGTAAACCTTGCCACACCATTGTATCTTCAGGTATGACTTCTAAATAGATTCTTCTAGCCCATAGTGCTCCCCAAAACTGCTGACCTCATCACGTATCTGCTGAAGGTTGTGAAGGGATGTCTTGTCATACCTTCCAAACCGACTCATGTTAAAGCAATGCATTATCTTTATCTTAAAACTAGTTCCTTCATCTGTTTTCATTCTCATTTAATGACACCACCATTCTCACCAGTCACTCATGAAAAACATCAGTTATCTCAACTTTGGCTTTCCTTGCTCCTGTTCAATAAATTGCCAAATCAATCATTCCTTTATACAGTCATGTGTCTTTAACAATGGGGATATGTTCTGAGAAATGTGTGGTTAGGCAGTTTCATCATTGTATGAACATCATAGAGTGTACTTACACCAACCTAGATGGTATAGCCCACTACACACCTAGGCTATATGGTACTAATCTTATGGACCACTGGTGTATATGTGGTTGTCATTGACTGAAATGTTGTTATGTGGTGCATGGCTGTACATTCATCAGATATTTATTGAGGACATACTCTGTGGGCCTCATAATGTGCTATGGGGCTTGGGTGGGCAAATATAGAAAACAAATATTTATTGAGCACTTGATATATGCTAGGCACTAGATATACAAACATGAGCAAAACCGGGTTCGTGTTCTCAAAGTGATTTTAGTGGTGGAGACAGACGTAGAAACAGATCATTTTTAATATGATATGATACATGGTACGATTCAGGAACACACAGAGTGTTAATCAGGGCACAAAGACAGAGCATCTAGCCCTGTCTCCATAACTGAAAGGAAATTCCTGAAGCATTCAAACTAAATACTGGAGGATAAGCAGGAGACAAGGAATGATGGAAGGATGTTCTAGGCAGAAGAAAACAGTATTAGCAAATATAACAACAAGAAAAACTTCACCATGTATTTTGGGGAGAAGTGGAAGATGAAGAAGGAGCGATAGGAAGAGGTCAGATCATGAAAGGTTTGGTTTCTCATGTTAAGGGGCTTGAACTCTATCTTGAAGGCAAGGCAGAGTCACTGAAAGGCTCTAAGGGGAAAAATGACACAATCCAAGTGGAATTTATGAAAAATTATTCTAGCACCATGTAGAGAATGTACTGCAAGAAGCTGGATGAGTTGGAAGGCTGCTGAAACAGCTCTAATGAGAGATGATGAGGGTATGAAACAGAGAAGCACTAGTAGGAATGGAAAGGAGATAGTTTTTAAAACATATTTAGGATTTAAAATTGGCAGAACTTGATAAATGTTTGAATGTGAGAAGTAAGGGAGAAAAAGGAGTTGAGAATGATCGGCAGAATTATTTGTGGATAAACAATACAGAGAAGAAGGTTTGGGGAGGGTGGGAGAAATTAAATGTAACTTGAGATGCCTTATGAAACATATGGGAAGCTATTTTAAGAAAGCAATTGAATCAACAACTCTGTAGCTTTTTGCTAGTTGGCTGACTGACTTCAGGGTGGCGGGGTTGAGAGACAGAGTTGAGGAAATATATGCTTCACTTTCAATTTTCTTGGTGAAGGAGAAGGTAAATTCATTCTTGTGAGTGAAAGAAAAGGGTATTGAGGAGAGAGATGAAGGTTTGGAGTATGTATTAAGGGAATTCAAGATAAAAATGACCAAGAACAAAGAAAAGATTGTCCTGCAATGTTGAAGCCCTAACAATTAGAAATTATAAATTTATATCAGGGGTCAGGTGCACAGACGTAAAAGCAGAGAAACTCTGAGCGCTTGATCCAGGGTTAGGATTTTATTAGGAAGGTGCAGCAGACTGGAGGTCAAGGTTCAAGCTCCAACACCCTACACCAATACAGTCCCCAGTATGAAAGCCCTCCCTACCTGCACAAACTCTGATATTCTGTGCCATGCTGCCCCCTTCTGTGGATCAGGTTCTAACACCTCACGATCAAATTAATTTGGGGTTATGATGTGAGGTAGGGATCAAGGTTCATTTTTTTTCACTATCTATATCCAGTATATCCAGCATTATTTGCTTAAAAGACTTTCCTTTTTCCAAAGAATTGGTTGGCACTTTTGTTAAAAAGCAGTTGAACATATGAGTGTGTCGTTCTATTTCTGGACTCTCTTCTGTCACACTGATCTAGTTAATCTATCTTAATGTGAATACCAACCTGTACTGATTACATAACTTTTATTTACATACCTAAAATAAGGTAGCATAAGTCTTTCTA